GCTGGCAGGAACGTCTAGATAGCTCTGGCATGTGTCAGCTTTCTGAGTGGCTCTGAATTCAAACCTTCTGCTGAAATTGCCATGTCATCCTGATGGGAAGCAGTATTGAACTCGAGGTCCCATCCTTTACCTTCTTTATCACTCAGCCTCTTTGAGGAAAACATGTATTACTTGCTTTTTTGGCTGTACTTAGTATTTTTAATAAACCTATTATTTCAGAATCTTTTTAATTTATAGAGATGTGAAGATAGTACAGAGTTCCTATATACCCTATATCCAATTTCCCATAGTAACAGCTTACATTAGTGTACAATATTTGTCACAATTAAGAATCTATATCATTACAGTATTTTTAACTAAAATCCATACTTTATTCAGATTTCCTTCATTTTTACATAATACTCTTTTTCAGCTCTAGGATCTCATTCAGAATACCCTATTACATTTAGTTGTTATGTCTTTTTAGACTCCTTTTATCTATGACTTTTTCCTAGACACTCGTTTTCTTCAATGACATTGATAGTTTTTTTTTTTTTATTTTTTACTTTTAACTTTCATGGGTATATGGTGGGTGTATATATTTGTAGGGTACACGTGATATTTTGATGCAGACATACAATGCATAGTAATCACATCATGGCAAATAGGTTATCTCTCACCTCAAGCATTTATCCCTTCTTTGTGTTATGAACAATCCATTTTGAGGAGTATTGGTCAAGTATTTTGTAGAACATTCTTTAATTGGCATTTGTCTAATTTTTTTTTCTCATAATGAGACTGAGGTTGTGGGTTTTTTGGAGGAAGATCACAGAAGTAAAGTACTATTCTCATCACATAATCTCAAGAGTACATACTATCAGCATGTTTTATAATTGATGATATTAACCTTGATCACCTGACTGAGGTAGTGCTTTGTTTGTTAGGTTTCTCCACCATAATATTACTGTCTCCTTCCCTTTCCGTATTGTATTTTTTGGCAGGAGGTTCAAAGCCCATTACACGCAGCCAATGGAAGTTTAATTCTTCTTCAGTTCACTGCCCAAGGGAGGTGTTTCAATGGCTGTCATCTTTTCTTTACCTGTTATTCAGGGACCCAATGTTCTTCCCTTCTGTTGCTTCTGTAGCCCCCAGGGCTATGTTATCTTCATCTGGCTGGTGTTAAGGAAAAGAGAATGTGGAGGAGAATGTTTGCTTTTAAAAACCTTGGCCTGAAAATGGCACACATCACTTCCACTTACATTCCATATGACACTCATTCATCTGCCAAACCCAACTGCAAGGGAGGCTAGGACATATGGTCTAGCTGGGTGCCCAGAAAAAAGAGGAAATGGATTTCAGTGAAACGCTTGCAGTATTTGCCATACCACTTTAGAGCACAAAAGGGAACAAACCAACCGTTCCTCCCCTACCATCTAATAATATGGCCATCATTTCATTAAAAAAAGAAAAATAGTAATGGAAGAGCATAATTTTAAAATCAAAGAGTCATATAAACTGAAAAAAAATTAGGTGCATAGAAAACCTGTTCCATTGACCCTATTTGTCTTAGTGTCACTGTTGTGTTATGAACATTTGTTGAGAACAGGCACTTACTTGCATGTCTGCATTTGAGAACCCTTTTTTCTATTCTGTCTGTACCAGGCTGCATCATGTCCAGAGTTGTCATGTTTTGTGTGGAATGCCTTTCCTCTGGTTTCCTTGCCTACAGCAGTCCTACTCATTCTTTAAGTGACAGATGAAGTGTCTTATCCCAACCTTCAGACAGAACTGGTCACTTGCTCCTTGGTGACATCACATCCCTGTGATTCACTTCCTCGTTTATCAACTCTCCCACACTAGTATTATATACAAATATGTTTCATGCATTAGACTGGGTGCTCCCTGAGGACAGCAATGGTTTTATTCATATCTTGGGTCCCCAAGCATAGTCTGACGAATAAATGTGCGTTCGTTGAATGTACCCAGGATGCTGGATATGCTGAATATGCTGAAAAGTTGTCTCATTTTGTACCTCCTTTCTTTAAAATAGAGCAAAACATGTTCTGGCTTTCCCCCTTATAAAAGAGATCCTCACTTATGATAGTCGAGTCTTCATGGAGGAGGTGATGTTGAGCTGAACCTGGAAAAGTTGGTAAGACTTGATAGATGGTAATAGACATAAAAGATGCCAGTCAGGCTACACAGCTTTCTGTGCCCCATCTATGTTATATATGTTCAGGGTATTTTTTTCAACAGATGATCAAGTCTCCTTTGGAACTTCTATAATATAGAATGTTCATTTTCACATATCACAAGATAATTAAAACGCAGACTCTGGGCTTGTTCTGGCACTGCTCTCAGAGATGGGTGCTCAGAGTCTGATGCTCATTATCCTGAGCCGGAGTTCCCAACCTGAATTACCAGGGCTCCAACAGGGGATGGCTCCACCAAGGCTAAAGAAGTGTTTAATTACAGGTACAGAAAGAGGAGCGCGAAGAAAACAAACAATCATTTACAGGTTTTAACGACTAAACTGCCATGCATCTCATTACCAATAAAAAATGACTTCTTAAAGTGACTTTATCAAGCTTATTAGAAATAAAGTATGAATTGTAAGAAAGTTGTCCTCTTCCTCCCTTCTATCATTTTCTATCCTGTACTTTTAGCTTTAGTGGCTTTACAAGCTCAGTTAATATTTTACTAAAGCAGACGCTGGAGACATACTCTTTTCTCAGAATGCTGCTTTTACCTCCCTTATACCGTGTCCTTGATTTTCATAGTTGAAACATTAGACTTTAATTAGGATGTATATTTTATGGGTTTTCTAGTTCATACTTTGTCATTATTCATTTGAAATTTGCAGTGATTATAGAGTAGCACTTTTTAAAAATCTTACTATATAGGTACAAAAACTTGAAACTCAGATGTTAGTTAGATGAGTTGCTCAGGGCCACACAGCATTTGAGGTTCAAATCTATAGGTGAGTCTACCACATCAGAAGCTGCGCGTCAGCCAGGCAGCCAAAGGCAGAGGCACACAGAGAGCTGTTTGCGGCAACTATCACAAGGACAGAAAACCAAACGCTGCGTGTTCTCACTCATAGGTGGGAATTGAGCAATGAGAACACTTGGACACAGGAAGGGGAACATCACACACCAGGGCCTATCTGGGGTGGGGGGAGTGGGGAGGGATAGCATTAGGAGAAATACCTAATGTAAATGACGAATTAATGGGTGCAGCACACCAACAAAGCACATGTATACATATGTAACAAACCTGCACATTGCACTCATGTATCCTAGAACTTAAAATATAATTTCTTTTCCGAAAAAAAGAGAGTTGTTTGCAGCGTTAGCTAGCCATGTGTTTCCCCAACTTGTCCATAGTTGTGGGAATAGATGAGCCTATGGAGGAAGTGCATTGAAGACAAATCCATTCTTCTATTTCTGCCAGCATTCAAGGCAGAGGATTCTACTGTGCTCAAAGTAAATAGAGACTTACATGAAGGAACAAACAATCATTCAGTGTAACTTCAAGATTTTTATTGGTGAGGACATTGAAGTTCACAAATTTTAAAAATTGAATTTATTTAACTCATAAAGACAATACCTACCTATTAATTAGAATGCCTAGTTTCCAGGTCAGTTCTTTGCTCATCAGCCTGCTTCCTCATTCCCGATTTCTTTGACATGTCTTTTGCTTCTTAGGACTGCTGTGAAAAAGACGTGTTGATAGAGGCATTGCCCCATATTCCCAAATAATGTGAATGTGATCAAGTCACATGTGCAAAAGTCCCAGCGACAGACACTTGTTACAGGGTGTAGGCCAATTCTCAAAGAATTAATCACATTGAATGTTTAACTAGAATTCTCTTTTAGACCTAAACATTAATAAATGCATTCAGTGTAACACAGAGTGCCTACCATATTGCTGGGCAGAAAAAAGGCATTCTTGGTAAAGATCAGTTGAAAAAATGGGTGAAGGATGAAGTTGACTAGCTTAAATTCAGTGATTGTCCTTCTGAGGATACCATGTTGCTACTTTAGCAATCATGTGATTTCCATCTTTGCCTCAATTTTTATCTCTAGAAGCAGCATTTTTCTTTTTCTCCTCATTTTAATGAAATAATTAGGGCTATAAGTGCCCTAGAATAATTCATTTTTGCTCAACAATAGAGACAAAAATGGTGATGCGGTGGAAATTAGATTGTTGCTGGCAGCCAGCACTGCAATGAGAAAGCTTTAAATATTTATATTAGCTGATGCACAAAAATTCAAATGTGTTATACAAAGGTTAGTTTGAAAGTGTTTGTGTTTGAGGGTTTTTAAAAGTTGAGCAATTCTGGTTTGAAATACTTAGAGAAATATGTATGACTTGATTTTTTTTTTTTTTTTTTGGACTGGAGAACTTTGGAATACTGAGGCTCCTCTCTGAAGAAGTTCGTAGTGAAGGTGAAATTTGCATTTCCACATATTTCCCAGTGTCATCTCATGGCCATGGAAGTTTTGCTGTTGCCTGTGCTTCTTCTCATCCAAACTATTCTTTCTGGCTGAACTTGATCACAAATTCAAAACCCAGGAGCTTCTGATGGAAAGCTGACATCCTACAGAAATAGAGGCCTTATGAACCTGGTTATGACTACTAGAAACTTAGAAATTACAGAAGCATTTGGCCTAAACAATAATTCTGAAATGAGACTATAATGTTGGTGAAATCTTGCAGTCAGACACCAGATGTGCAAAGGAGGAAAATAATTCACTTTTTAGCATGTCTCGGTATTTTCCTAATCATAATTTGCTTTTATTTATTTGCATTTAGTTTATTGCTAAAAGTGTTAAAGCTCTACCTCTAGATGGAATAAAAAGCATAGATATGCTACTGAAATACCCAACTCCCAAATACGTAATTCAATATTTAAGCTATTGGCATTTACGTATTTACTTACAGGATGTTTTTAACAATTTGTAAGTGTGCATTTGTGTAAGCCAAATAAAAATTTGAATAATTATTTTGTTTTGCAGAACCCCAGCTGAAAGGGATTGTGACAAGGTTATTCAGCCAGCAGGGATATTTCCTGCAGATGCACCCAGATGGCACCATTGATGGGACCAAGGACGAAAACAGCGACTACAGTAAGAAACATCAGCTTCTTACAGTCTGATTACAAATCAAATGTAGGGCCCAGTGTATCTTATACTTAAAGCATTGCTAAGCTGCCTTACCAAACTATGCCTTTCAAACTATTTAACTATTAGTAAGCTGGTGTCTTTTCCTTTATCCTTCTTGCTATGATTTCCTGCAGCAAATACACAGTATAGGAGGGAGGTTATGCAGGTAAGAGAAGGTAAGAGGCTTAAAGGTATTTCCTTTGGTCAGTGGGCAAGAATATACTCCCATCACGGTGTTTGTAGGCAGCATGATGATAAACACTCCTAGGAACAATACAAGCACATCTTCCAACACAAGATGGTATTTAAATCCCGGAACCAAGAGATGAACAAGTTATAGTTCGATGATGAACAAGTTAGGTATTTCTCAGAACGCAATTTCTGACAGACAAAAATTACCTCTTAAGGTAAATACTGAGTACATGTATGTGTGTGAATATGTACATATGTGTGTGTGTGTTATATATCTATATATAATATACATATATGTTATTTTATGTTAAAGGCAAAATTGCTGATTTTAAAAGGAAAATATATTTAAATATCACGATTACATATGGCACATGTAATAAATATATATAACAGTAAGAAGATAATGAAGACTGATAGACCTGAAATGGAATTTAAATTTTTGAGGGGGAAATAAAAATGCTGAGCATTCAAAGATTAATAATAATTTCTCTGGATATAGTTTTTAAGTGATCTAACTTTAGAGTTGACAAGTTCAAAAATTAAATGCAATCATCAAGGTATGACAAAATGAATTTGCAGTCTAGAAAAATTTCAAATATAAGCTCCAGAGGCAAGATTGATAGCTCTCATATCTTTCAAATTTTGCATAATCATATACAGATACCTGAGGGCAAATTTGTGTCATTCTAAAATTATGTATGGTGCCATATTGTTTCCTAATGTTTGTCTGTCTTCATTGCGAGATCTTTAGTGTTGAGCACACAATAAACACTCATTGATATCTGTCCAAACAAGTTGTGATTCTGATGGATGTAATTTTGTCATCAGGCTGATAATCTACTAAACTGCATAAAGTAATATAGGAAGCTAGATATTTTATAGTGAAATATCTTTTAAATTATTAAGAAATATTTGAGAAAAAAATTAAAGTTCCTAAAGAATGAAAATGATCTTGTCCACCCTTTCTAAGTTATTCTTTGTTCAGTTAATATCACACATTTAGAATATAATTTACAATAGATAAAAGATCTTATTATAAAGAATTTCATTTCAGTTTTCTTGCTCTCAGATTTTTCGCTAAGTTGTTGATTGACTTATTTTGGTTTGCATTGGTGGCGTGTTTTTGTGAGAGCATTCTTTAAATGATTAAAGCTTTCAGCTCAGTATAGAAGAATCGGGATAGTTTTCTCTCCGTGTATTTTCATTTATTGCATCTGTCATTAAATGTCGATTTAGTGAGGCTACAAATATAGATGCAAGAACCAGGGAACCACTTAGTTATGTCACTTATCTGCACTAACTCCAAGATATTACTAGTTCTCAGGTTTTATTTCTATAAAATGTGGTGGCTGGAGATGGTGATGATATATCAACATCTCTGTCAGCACCATCCATCTAGCTTTTAAAAAAATTGAAAAATTATAAATCGATGAAGATAGAATCAATCCCTAAGTAAGACGATTAGCCATATTCAGTCTACAAAATGCTATCTTTACCCAGCCAACTATCTTGCAAATACATGACATATATCATGGGGCAAAGACAGAAGGGTGTGGAAGTGCAGGTTTGGGGTCAAGCTAGGACAAATCCTTCCTGCATTCTTTCTAGGAAAATGATTGACAGTGCTTGCTTTGTTGATGCTGGGTTAACTGCTAGTGTAAATCTACACCCACGTGTACATTTGTACCTTCCTTCATGCATATATATATATATATATATCTTAGCATACTGTCATTATGCCTACCACACACAAACACACATACACACACACACACCAAAGGGCATGCATTGTGTCAAATACGTACTTTAAAAAATTCTCTGAACTCACAGATTTAAACTAATATTTTATTAAGATAAACTACCACACACACTTTTTAATCAATTGTTTTTAAAATCATTTAGGTGTGCAAAATATAAAGATTAATACAAGTTTATCTGGATACCTACCACTAGCTTTTTTAAAATTAATTAAAAATAGCGATATAGTTTAACCTCCTTGTTGTGATATCCCTGATGGAATCTTGCTTTCCTTCATTACCAGATATAATAACTCCCTGGAATTTTGTATATCTCATATATATGCAATTTAATAAAAAATTTTAATTCATAGCATTGTTTTGCATATTTTAAAATATTTTGTAAGTTAGAACATTATCATAAATATGTTTTATGTACTTTAATCCCCAACATTATGGTTGCGAGGTTTGTCTATGGTAATATATTTATTTGTTTTATTTCTTTCATTTTTGTAAAATATTCCACTGTATGAATGTATACAAACATATTTATTCATTTTCCTTTTTGTGTATAATTATTGTTTCTATTTTAAGGCCATTACCAATAGTGCTGCTAAGATCTATCTTATAGACGTTGAAGATGCCTTCTTTAACAGTCCTCTAAAAATTACACTTTTCACTTTGGAACTCTCTGTTTTCATATCCCACTTTCTGAAATATGTATTATTGCTGTTTATTTATTTTTGATCTTCCTTCCCAGAAGAATGCATGTTCCGTGAGTGAAAAGATTTTGACTGATGCCTCATGCACTGTTAGAACCTAGAATGAATGGTCTGTAACACATAGTAAGCACTCAATACAAAGTGAGTGAATGAATGACTAGGTGCATGAATGTCTCTGTCAATATGTACAAAGTTTCTGTAGGTCATTGGCTAAAATACTGTTATCCACGTTTTATTTTTTTGAGATGGAGTCTCACTCTGTCACCAGGCTGGAGTACAGTGGCGTGATCTCGGCTCACTGCAACCTCTGACTCCCTGGTTCAAGCGATTCTCCTGCCTCAGCCTCCCAAGTAGCTGGGATTACAGGCATGTGCCACCACGCCCAGCTAATTTTTGTATTTTTAGTAGAGACAGGGTTTCACCATGTTGGCCAGGATGGTCTCGATCTCCTGACCTCGTGATCCACCTGCCTTGGCTTCCCAAAGTGCTGGAATTACAGGTGTGGTTCTGCGACCGGCCCCACATATTTTTTAACTTAAAAAATCATTTAAGATTTCAGAAAAATTACAAAGTAATAAAAGTGAATTCCTTTATACTTTTTATCCAGCTTCTCCTAAAGGTATCATTTTACATAACAACATAATGATCAACGTCAGAAAATTAACAATTGTGAATATTATTTACAGAGAGCTATAGCTTTTATTAAAATCTTATCAGTTTTTCAACTAATGTGCTTTCTTCTGACCCTCTCCCCACATATTTTAATGAAGAATATCAAATAAAAATAAATAATTTTACATACACTTTGTCTGAGTGGGGATTAGAAGTAAAAATATCAAAGAAGGATTTAAATTCTACTCATTTCTTTTATAGAAAAATTATAAGCCTCTAAGTTGTTAAAATGTCTTTTCTTTCTCTACTTTGTGTGTGTAGGAGTAGAAGCAGTTGATTGTTTGAAAAAAGAATCTTGTTACTATGAGCATCTGTCAGAAATGTGTTGTTTGGTTCACTAGACATCATTAGGTCTAACCAACCTTACCATAGCATCTTGCACAGAATTGATAAAGACACCTGTTCTTTTGTTCATGAAGAAAAGACTAATTATATGTAATTGAGTACAAAACACAAATGGAGTTGTCGGCAGTAACAGATAAGAATCTCTGCAAATGTAATGATAAAAAATACAAAACTGTGTTGGAACACTGGAACAAAAAAGACAATGGCAGTTTGGAGGGTATTAATAGGAATATTTTACATAAAATTAAAAAGCTAATTATTTTGTTTCCTGAGTTACCATAAGACAAGACACATTTGAAGAGGTCAGAAATGCTAGGGAGAAAACAATGAAGATATTATAACCAAAGATACTGTTCTCTTTACCTCTGAATAATAAAATTTTAAGAGCCATTTGACTATGGAATGGGCTGCCTGACAAGTTAGTACAACGGTGAGACTGGAGATATTCAAGCAGATGCTGTCCTGGCACTTGAGGCAAAGGGAGAGGTTTACAAGAAAACTCCCTTGGTGTGGGAGGAGGAAGCAGAGTGGTGGTAGGAGGGCATGGTTTCAGAAATCAGTGACTTTTAAGGTCTCCTTTAGTCCTGATATTCTTTGAAAACTTATTTTGAATAGGTAAGATAAGTGTATGGTACCAAATTGTAAAGGCACAAAAGGGTGTGTAGTTGAGAAATAGCAAAACAGTCCCTGACAGCCAGAAGGTGGCTTGGCACTCCCCAGAAGACTTGGTCTCCTTCTGTTGAATATAGACAATTTCACAACATTTGAAATTAGACAAAGCCACTGAGACATGAAGGGTCAAGATTAAAGCAAGACCCTGTAATCATGTCTGAACACGACAAAAACAAAAATGTTTCCTAAACTACAAAATGACTAAATATGTCTCTGTCCTGGATTATGTGAGTGGCTGCTGCTTGTTTACCAAACACAGCTTTAACCTTGCTCTGTTCTTGCCTTCTAGAAAAGAATTACTAAGATAGTAGCCATAGAATTACACCCACATCCTTAGAGAATCCAATCTGGGGCAGATTCTCATTTCTTTGAGCCCTCCTTAAAACCACTTGCTACACACCCAAATCCTGTAAATCTTTTCTTAAATCCTCTTCCCAAGACACCCCAGTTCTGCTCTGGTGTGTGTGTTTCGTCCTTGCTGAGCATTATTAAAACAAACTTCGTTCAACTATGGGTGTGTTTATGATATTCACTGGAAGTCATTGATGCAGTCTAAAGCCATTTTCATTCACACCCCTCCATTGCCACCTAGGCACATGCTTGGTATTTTTCTGATATAGTCTAT